TTTGCACCCTTGATCATTTGGTATTTAAAGAATGAAGAATTGATTATTGTTGGAGAGTGAGTGAGCACCATACACAGTAATTGTGTGACAGTGGCCCAAGCCACCTGAGCCTGAGCCTGAGCAAGCTTTCTGCAGGACTTCCCTCACCTGTACACCAACTGAACCTGGCTGCAAATGTCATGTGTGACAAAGGAATTTGGGGGTTAAATAAAGAACAAAATGGCTACAGCCTCACTACCAAATAGAAAATTACAGTTTGTTTAGTTAGAATTCCATATGTCGTGGGCTGTAAAACACACGGGTATCTTTCTCAGGGGGTTGAATAGCATGTGGCTGCAAAGGGGCCTCTTTCTCTCAGGACATTCAGCAGTCAGAAACTTCAGTTTTCCTGCCTCCAGTGGCTGCTCAGACTTTCAGTGGCCAGGCTTTTCCTAGAGTGTCTATAGCACTAGCTTGGTTTTATGCAGAACTAAAGGGCTATTTCTCTGCCTTCAAAGCATTCTATGATAAAAAAGACTGCTGCCTGGCTTGCCCCAAAAATGTGTTTCTATTTCCACAGAACTGTAGCTTTCCATCATCTCTCCTTGAGTGCCTGACCACAGTGGAGGCCTGCAGTGGGGATGCAAATTCCAAGTGGAAAAGGGCCCATCAATCTTACAGAACTTTAGATCATAGAATAGTCCTTGCACATATCTAACACCCTTCTATTCAGCTGCCAGCAATTTTACCACTTTATCCCAGAACGTGTATAAATAAGTGGTTCTCTCTATTGCAATGGTTTTCAACCTTTCTAATGCCATGACCCTTTAATATAGTTCCTCATGTTGTGGTGACTCCCAACCATAAACTTATTTTCATTGCTACTTCATAACTGTAATTTTGCTACTGTTATAAATCATAATGTAAATATCTGTGTTTTCCAATGGTCTTAGGCGACCCTGCTAACAGTTCTCAACCTCTGGGTTGTGACCCACAGGTTGAGAACCACTGCTGTAGAGCCTAAGATAATCAGAAAACACAGATGCCTCTTACCTCACTCCCTGACATCAACAACTGTAGCAGAGTTGAGTGAGGGCTGCACCCACCCCAAAAAAGTGTGAAATCCCATGGGGAGCCGAAGAATAAATTCATAGCTTATCTAAGAAAGCCGTCAATGTTGATCAAGGGAATGGCTGCTGATAATATTTTTACTTGAACTTCAAATAGAATTAACTTACTTGCCACTCCCATAAATTTACAGTCTGAAGTAGGCTTAGTCATAAGGAAAAGTACTAGAACCCTTGCAAGAGTTCTCCTGGTGCTTTTTACTCAGTGTAGGTCAAAAACAGAAGCTAGCAGAAAAGTTTTCTCAGAAGGACTGATAATCAATATTTTGGGTTTTGTTTCTGAGATGGCTGTTTGGCAAAACAGCCAGGCAGTAGGAATAGTGGCGAGGCGCTCTGCCAGGAACACCTCACAGAAACAGTGAGCACCAGGGGCTAGATTGGTCATGAATTTCTCAAGCTCAAGCCTAGGGATCGGGGTACAAGTGGCTCTAACTCTCTCATGTGAGTTTCCTCAGCAGCCAAGTTCCTAAGCTTCCTGCAGTCTGATGGGAAGGAGAGGCTATGGAAGGATTGCCCTTGGTTCAGCATCTGCCCACCTCCCTTCCCTCTGCACTGAATCCCTTTCTGCTCTTTCCTAGAATTCCTCAGAGTACTGGTGAAATCACCAGGCTGGATCCTGAGTCCAGCAGAAGCTCTGAGTCTTTCTGGTTAAACCACATGACTGAACTATTCATTGAAATCCCTTCCCATTCTTTTTAAGCCTACCCTTTCCTTCATGAACTTCTGAAACATAAAACATGCTCTCTGTAACCAGATCTCCAGGTCTCCCAATTATAAAAGAGAAAACTTAGAATCATCATGACCAGGAAGAAGCAGCCCAGCTCACATGAATGTTTGAATCTTAAACACATTGACAAATAGGCATATATAATATATATATATATATATATATATATATATATATATATATATATATATATATAAAATAGGCTAATATATTATACATATATTTAATTTGAGATGACTGGGAAAGATAAATAGTTACAAAAAGGTTTTAAAGTTCAACTCTCAATGGTCATTTGAAAGATGTTAGTTTTGGTAAAAGTGTGTTTGGAAGTTAACATGACATGAATCACTTGGTGTATAAAGTATTCAGGGTTCTAGGAGTTGAAAAGGTAGGAAGCAAAACACTGACTTCACAGGTTTTCCTAAACTGCTTATCCTTGTTGCATGAGTAGGAACACAGCAGAAAAACTGCCACCATTAGATAGTAATTTGGGAAAATCCTTAAAGAAGAAACATTCTGAACATGCTCTGGGAGTAGAAGAATGGATTTAAATAAAGTAACTAACATTTTACCTAATTTAAGGGTGTGGTAGAAGGAAGTATATACTAGAAAGCTACGGGAAATCTCCCTAGACCCAGGGCAAGCACAGTGCAGGGAGTGAGCCTGGAAATGGTCAAGCTCTCTCCTTCTTCCCTCTCTCCTGTCTCAGGTCCCTCATCTCTAGTTTGACATGGAGATATCTACACTTTCAACATTTCTTTGCAAATACAGCTTTCTCTTTTACTTGTTGGTATGATGGTTCCAAATGGACACCCCCAGAAGAGCACATTACTCTTCAAACAGGGTGGGGCACATAGAAGGACCTTTGTTAACTAACCCCTTGATGGAATTGACAGAAGTGAATAAATATGGTATCGCCAGCTATTCATTCACCAAACAACATACCTGGGAGTGAGAAATTAATTGGCAGTTGAGTCAGGATCCACTACTTATCCAGACAGCTCTAAAGCTGTTATTTCTGGAACTTCCAGGTCCACATCTAATATCAGTGGGACAGTTTTCAGAAGAGGTGTGGGAGCCCCCTCCCCAAAGTACACACTCTAGTGGTTCTATTTTGTCTAAAAACCTGGCTACTAAAGCAATGAGATATGAATTTAACAAGTGACTTTGAGTCCAAACAACTTAGTGAATTTCTAAGTTACATTCACTACAGAGAAGGGCTCATGAGACCTTCTGTATGTCAGGTGATATCTTAGCAGAAGGAGAGGTGTGGATTCTTCCGTGAACAAAAGCTATATTGGGTGAGTGAGGGGGCATCAACTGATTAAAGATAATTTGCCTCAGAATGTAAGGTGTTCCAACTACCACAGAAAAAAAAATATGGGGGTTCCTCAAAAAACTAAATACAGAACTATCAGATGATGCAGCAATTCTATCTCTAGCTACCTAACCAAAATAAACAAAAATAAGATTTTGTTGACATATCTGTACAATATGCCACTGGATTAAACCCCTAAAATATCAAAGGATAAACTTTATGTTATGCATATTCTAACACACACACACACACACACACACACACACACACACGCAGATTAGGAAATTGGAAGTTCCCAGAAGCAGGTAAATGGTTAAGGAGCTATGTCAAACATAAGAGATAGAGTAAGAAGAATGAACACCAAGCCATTAATTTAGAAAACATGAGGTCATAGCATTAGCATCCTAAAGTTGGTTTCAGTGAAGTGGGAGGGGGTCAGGACACCAGATTATAGAGATGAGGAAAGAGGAAAGAGGTTGGAAGAAGCACAGATTTTAAGGATGGGGTTCCCTTTAGAAAAAAATAGTGGACCATTGGCACAGTGACTTTAGAAAATTATTTCTCAAAGTGTAGACCTTGAATGAAACCACATCAGAATCATCGGGAATATTTGTGAAAAGGTTCTTGGGCCCATCCCACGTATTTGAGTCAGACATTACAGGGTAAGAAGACTGGAATCTGCATTCCAGACATGTTTGTAGGTTGTCCTTCTGAACACCAAGATTTCAGGACCAAAGTGAAGTTGGAAGGCTATCAGGTAGAAGAAAGTATTTGATGATGCTCACACCTGAGCGTGTTTCTAGAAGACTGAAGGACCAGGTGAAGAGGAAGATGATTGTCATTCAGTGGTGGGGGAGGTGGCCTCAGATGAGTAATGAATGGAAAAGACCCAAAGGAGACTGAAAGTGGATAAAGGAGCAGAGACGTGTGGGAGGGAGGAGAAGGAACAGGGCAAGCACTCACCTGGATGGAATAGATCTAAGGGAGTGGGAGGATGAAGGAGAAGGAGTGGCTGAGCCACTGCAGGGCCTGAGGTTCTCATCAATCAAAGATTGTTAAACTCAGGGTCCAGCAGAGCACCCTCCCACCAGGTTTACAAATCTCAGAGGATATCGATATGGGCACTATCCAAGGTAGAGTGCTGTTCATAGCAGGTTTTGGTGGGAACAGGGATTCTAGGGCCTGGCAAAGACCTCAGTAAGAAGCATAGCTATGTCCAGGGTCAGTGAGTGGTCAATGGAAGCCATTAAAGTCCAGGAGGACTAAGGACAAAAGTCAGGAGAGTGAGGGCAGGACAAAATGGAGGGTGTCATCTGTGGTCTGTGGCCAAAGGGAGTTCCAGCAATGAAACTGCTCTCTGAGGGGCTGGAGGGTATGAATAGGATTAGCTATAAGAACCTTAAGTCAGGATGGGTAGAACTTCTCCATGCAATTCTTGAGCTCCTTATAGGAGTTACCATATTTAGTTGAAAAAAAGATAGAGCAGCTTTTTATATAGATTCTTTTATTCAGACACTGCCTCATTAGCCCTTCCCACTGCTACTCTGTGGAAAGGTGAGATTGACTGATTTTTCTTTTATCTTGGTTTCTCTTTTACATTCCCTTTGAAGGAAGAAACTGAAATAAGAGATAGAGTTGGAAGTGTTGGGGAGACCCTATCTCCTGGGTGCTGGGCTTAGAAGAAGCCTTTCAGAAAAGCTGGAGCTACTACTGGCTCTGACCTCATCTGCTCATGTCACAGTGTGGAGATAATAATATCCATTTCACAGGGTGACTGTGAGACTTTAATGAAAAAAAAGTATGTAAAATAATTAACTTATTATCAGATACATGTGAGCATTTAAGAAATGGTAGCTTCTACTGAGGTAGTAGTAATTCTTCTTCTTCTTCATCATCATCATCATCATCATCATCATCATCATAATCATCTGAATCCAAACAGATATTTCTTTGGGAATTAACTGCCAGGAGATTATTCTGATGCAGCAAGAAGAGATGCCACCACTACCACCCTCAGAGGGATCTTTAGATGACTTTCCATCCTTCCCCCATATCTCCATCTAGCTCCATGGCTCTCACATTTGGCTATCCATTAAAATAAAAATTTTAAGATTCTGATGCTCAGGTCCTGCTCCAGGTGAAACCAGAATCTCCAGAGGTACAAATCACATCATTTTCCAGAGGCTCCTCATGTAATTTCCAGGCATCACCTGAAGTGAGCACTGCCAGACTAGCTAGACACTAATCGCATTCCAGATGCTTCGCAAGCAAGCGTTGACTTAACTGTTACACAGGTTTCAAGTGACTAAAGGAAAGTTTTGGGGCTGCACAAGTCCTGCACACACATTCCCTAAGGCATATGCTTTCTTTTGGCAACTGATGTTCCCCTTGGGACAGAACTGATGTGAATGGACATTGCAACATCCATAGAGATAGTTGTTGAAACAGATGGTGAACCTACAGGATACTGGCCTTCCCTTCCCAGGAAAGACATCCTGGGAGACCCCAGGGCCTAATCACTCTCTTGGTCAATATTGCTGTATAGGAAGTTGCAACTTCCTTCCCCCCCCCCCCCTTAATCTTTACTTTAATTCAGCTATAAAGATAAAGTTTATTTTTTCTGGAATATCTGTACAATTACTTTCTTCTCTCCTTTTATATTAGTGAGTGTGAAGTAGCTGGGGGTTCTGCCCTCAGCCACATTTTTTTTTTTTAAATCACTGATGTATCCTTTGATAACCAGTACCATGCAGGTATCACACAGGTGGGGGTTCCCTCATATTTTTCCTGAACAACTTACTGCTGGGTGACAAATCAGTGACCTCTAGGTAGAGATAATTATGTACCTTTGAAGCTACTGCTGCACATGGAAAAAACATAGGTCTCATCTTTAGGTCCAAGATCCCAGTGCTTATAGACCATGAGCTTCATTTTCAGTGTTCAGTCCCAGAGGGGGAAGTCAATCTGTCCACAGGGTGTGGGGAAGATAAGCAACTGGTGTGAAGAAGAAAGAGTAGGATTCAAGAAGCATGGATTTCAGTCTAAATTCCCCACAGCTCAGCTTTGTGGACTGAAACTAAATTATTTCTCTTACCTCAATCTTTTCAGCTAAAAAATGAGATTAGATCCCTAGGTGGTTCCCAATAGATGTCTATTCTTGTTACAAGGCCTCTGTGAATAAATCAGAGTTTTCCTGGGACACCCAAAGATCTACAATAGATGTTCATAACCTTTAACTTGTATCCCTTTATGGGCCCTCTGGTTCTAATATTTTCCAGTGTTTCTCATCCCATGATTTCCAGCATGATAATGCTAAGACCCCCTCAGCTGGCGAATACCCAAGCCACACAGCCCCATCTGATTTTGTAGTGGCTGAGAGGTATGTGTCTGCTTTAGAACCCTTTTAAGTGATGATGACCTGGTGTGAAAATTTACTATAGTAACCTACTTCCTGGCTCCCTGCCCCTTCCATGGTTACACATGGATAAATAATGCTATGCCATGTGGCGGTTGTGGATTTAGTTTAATGAGGGCCAAGTAAATGGTAATTGTCTTCCCCATTTATCCTAGTAATTAGATGGTGAGGCCATATCTTCAGGGCTTTTAATGTTTAGAACAAATGGTTCAGTGTTGCAACCCTGTTGCCACATGGCCTAGGGTGACTCTCAGCATTCTGCTGCCAACAGGTCAGCAGTGCCATCCTCACAGAAAACACCCAAAGATCAGCTCAGAAATGCACAGGATCAGGGTGCCCCACAATTCCATTTTCTTCTTTTTATGTTTCTCTTTACCTGACTAGAGTAGGTGAGGCTGGAAGCTCTGGCAGCGACACACTACTTATTTGGCCAATACTTACTTCCCCCTCCCAACAATGCTGCAGGAACTGAGCACCTACTGTGCCAGGCTAAAGCCTGCTTGAGTGTGCACACCCTGCTGTTCCCACTATTTCTTCTATCTGAACATTTGCCTTTCATCTCTGTGAGCTCATCAACATTACTACCTGTCAAGGCTTGGATCAAAGATCACTTTTTCATGCCTAGGAAGAGCCTGTCACCCTCTGAACTCCTGTAATACTCACGCCTGTCACATTGAGATGATCACATTGCCTGCCCTTCTGTGCTCTTTCCAGATCTACTCTAAGACTTGCCAGCCTGCCAGTTCCCTAAAAGTAGCTGCATGCCTGCACCCTCTTTGTATTGGCTCCGAGCAGTTGACTGCCAATGGCTCTAAATGTGTACCTGAAACCTTAAATGAATATTGTTTACTTTGGGATTCATTTGAAAAAGAAGTGGAATCATCACAGTGAGATAGGCTTCCTAAGGCCTTCAAAGGCACTGGGTCATAGTCTGAAAAGTTCTTGTTAGTAAGACTTACTGGTCTAGCAGAGTCTGACCCTTCTTGGTCCAATGGAGAAAAGAACAACCACTTTTTTGTTTTGTTTTTAGGTTTCTGATGTTGTTTTGATGGTTCTTGTTCTGGTTCTTTCCTTCTGAGCTTGATACTTTCTGGAGCTTGGGCTGCTGCCCTCTGTGGCTGTAGGAATGCTTTGATTTTTGTGGGAGGAATGCTCTCCAGCTGTACAGGTGAGCAGCATTAGGGTAAGGGGCTCCCAGGATGTGGAACATCAGTGCTAAAATTGGCACATTCCTGGCACAAAACCCTAAGAACATCCATGTAGCTTCAAGCATCTGAAGGATCTACATGGGGATGGGGGTAGAGATGGCATGGTGACTAATTGTATCTGGTGGGGTAGGTTATGCCAGCAGATGTGGCAGGAACAACAATGAGGGCAAAAAGACCTCAGGCAAAGCAGTTCAGAGATAAGCTGTGCCCTTTGGGAAACACAGCAGATGGCCATAAAACACTGTGAAGACAAGTCCTGCAAACACCTGCCAATACTGGCTTATCACACCTGAGATTTACAAGCAGAGCCCTGCAAGGCACAGCTACCCCACATCAGAGACATGTAAACAGGGAAGCAGTGATAAACTAGTTTCAGGCCTTCTGTGTAGGAACCTTGAAGATGCAAAGCATCGCTTAGAGAGGTCTGAGATGAGTTAATTTTAAATTTTAAGAATTTTGAAGCCAGCTCAAGTGTATAGAAGTGTTTGGAAGCTCAGCTCTGCTCTGTGGTGAGTTCTCAGAACTGAAGTATCTGTCACTGTACTCCCCTGGATACTCAATATGATTGAGGGCCTTCAACCCAGAGACTAAAAGGTGGGAAACTGAGGAAAACCCTAGGCACTGCCATCATAGCACAGGGATGATGTAGTTCATAATATTTATCTTTAATTAGTATAGATGGGGCTACTGATAAAACATCAAAGTTAGTGATGACAGTCTTTGTTGATCAGTTATCTTGGAGAGTCATGTTATTTTGCTCTTTCTGGAAGATCAGAGATGGCTCACTATTACTGTCCAAGAATATTACCCAATAAAAAGCTCCACCTTCACAATACTATTAGGATAAAGCATTTTAAAAATTACATACATAGTGCTAAATAAATAATTGGAAATTAACAACTTATTTAATCTGCTGGATGTTGGGAAATGCAATAAAAAAACAGAATGATCTTTGAAGAGATTCTGTGCACAGGGCAGGCAGAAGATAGTCTGTCATGTGACAAGGATGCATTTGGTGAACAGATGGAGAGACAGAATTATGATCTGCAAGGCCATCAGAGAGCATGAGGAGTGGAATCCCAGTTCCATCCCAGTTTTAGTGTAAGTATGGCCTCAATATCATCTCCTTTCATCACATAACTCAGGTGTGTTACTACATCCTGCATCTAGGACAGAAATCAGAGCTATAAACCATATCTACCCAGCAACATGCTCTACTGACCATTTTTTCCAGTAGATTTTTAATAGAAAGGAAATAAATCGCCTATAAAGATAGCTCTGAATTTATTTATTTATTTTTTAAATATATTTTATTGATTTTTAACAGAGAGGAGGAGAGAGGGATAGAGAGTTAGAATCATAGATGAGAGAGAATCATCGATCAGTCACCTTCTGCACACCTCCCACGGGGGATATGTCCACAACCCAGATACATGCCCTTGACCGGAATCGAATCTAGGCCAACGCTCTATCCACTGAGCCAAACCAGTTTTGAATTTAGAGGGGTAGGTTGCATGAATTTAGAGGGGTAGGTTGCTCTGAATTTAGAGGGGTAGGTTGCATGACTATCTGTGCCTTCTCAGTACCCTGTAAAGCACTTTTCAGAATGTTATGCATTATCTTATCTAATAAAAAGTGAATATGCTAATTGACCCTCACACTGTCACAAAGATGGCAGTGCCCACAACCAATAAGGAGGAAATATGCTAATTGACTGCCACATCCTCAAAAATGGCAGCACCCATGACCACAAGATGGAGGCACCCTGTCCCTTCAGACTCACTGGGGTGGCAGGCATGTGGCAAGGCTGGGCCCAACCCCAGCCATTCCATGTGCACCTGCCTCCAGAGTCCCCCAGTCCTCTTTGTCCCCAACCACCCAGGGCCAGCCTGAAGCACAGGCAAGCCTCAGATAGTGCTGCCCAGTCATCCAAGGCAGCCTGAGGAGCAGACAAGCTTCAGTTGGTGGTTGCCCAGCTGCCCAGGGCCATCCTAGGCTCAGGTAACCAGGGCTGGCTGAGGCTTGTGCTGCCACCAGTGTCAGCAGCAAAGGTGTGATGGGGAGTTGCCTTCCCCTGATCACCGGGTTGCCTCCCACCCCTGAGAGTTCCTGAACTCTGAGAGGGGGCAGGCTGGGTTGAGGGACTCCCCTCCAGAGCATGAATTTTCCTGCATTGGGCCTCTAGTACAAATCATAACTGAAGTTTAGAAAAAGAATTCAGGAAATTACATATGACC